CCACATCTATATCACCATCGCTTTGAACAACGGACCCAAGATATCTAAAACGTTCACACCTTTTAATAATTTGATCACCCAAAGTCACACTTTTGTCACTAGAGCTATTACTACTAAAATTAGATTTCATGTATTCATTATGAAAGATTTACAAAAGCATTTTTTGTCGTTTGGAAGGAAGCGAAGGCCTTTAGACTCCAATGTAGACCTCCATAATTCAAGTTTTTTCTGGGCTTTTTCTCTCGTTTTATCCACGAGAAGGAGATCATCAGTAAAAAAGCATACACCAAGGTACATCCTCCTATAGATGTCCAGTAAGACCATTCATAACTAAAGCAAAAAGATATGGGCTCTCTGATGTAATCCAACAGAAATAGGAAAATATTTGGTCAATCCTTCTTCAGTTTGAATACAAGTAACAGCTCTAGTATACATCAACGCCTCTCTTCTTGAGAACTCTCCAAAGGATATCTCTTGGAACCTTATCGTAAGCTTTTTCCAAATCAATAAAAATCAAATGTAGATTCTCCTTATTATCTCTAAACTTCACCATCAAACCTCTCAATAAATGTATAGATTTCATAGTAGACCTGTCCGGTGAAAAATCTTTGTGATGCGTCTTAACCTATGTTCAATTACCATCTCCCATAACTTTAAAGTATGACACATCAACTTAATTCCTCTATAATTTGCACACTCTTGTGCATCCCCGTTATTCTTAAAAATGAGGACCAAAATACTCCTCCTCCACTCCTCAGGTATCTTTTTAGTTTTTAAAATAATATTAAACAGTTTAGTAAGCCAAGAAACTCCCAAATCTCCCAAATATTTCCATACTTCAATTAGGATATCATCAGGTCTCACAGACATTCCACCCATGGTTTTTTTAAACTCTCTTCAACTTCTTTTCTATTAATGCGACGGTAAAAATGAAACGTTTTATTATTATTCACGATATTAAGATCACTAAGGTCGATCGAATTTTCAGAAACTTCATTAAAAAGTTTATCAAAATAACTCACCCACCTATTTTGAATGTCTTTTTCTAAGAAAAGTACTTTTTGATTTTCATCTTTAATACACTTTACTTGAGTTAAATATTTACTTTTCTTTTCTTTTTTATTTGGCTAGTTTATACATATATTTTTCACCCTTCTTAGTATCTAATCTATTAATAAATATGATAAACTAGCAATAAATATTAAAAACTCATAAAACATGATTCATAAATATTAGTATCTAATCTATTAATAAATATGAAAAACTCATAAAACATGATTCATAAATATGATAAACTAGCAATATTTTCATAATACATATTCTAATTTTTTTCTAATTCAAATGGGCTATTTACAGGTTCAAGTTCACAGGCAGCCTCATCTATCATAATCTCTTATCTACTAACCTCTTCTAATTCTTTTTCACTCCTTCAATGAATAATTAAATTATTCTTTTTTTTACGATTCACTTCAATGTTGCTTAGCAACGGCCTCAATGGTCTATTACTTAAGAGTAAGCTAATTGGCCTAATAAAGATTCAATATTTTTTATTATTGCAGCTTGATTATGTAACTGATTTCTTATCTGCGGCACTAATTCTCCAATGATAACTTCTTTTCTTTAAATTATTTATTTGAAATAAACCCTGAAGACTACTTAGGTCTAGAGTTGGAAAAGTTACTATTTTGATTGTTTTATTTGCCTATAGTGTTTAGTTGGTTGTTTGGGCAGTTATTATTTTCAACATTTTGATCGTTATTTCAATTAAAGCTCTCGGGTGATTCTTCAAACCAAAATTATAAATGTTTGAATAGGGAATATTGGTTTTGTTATTTACAAAATTCATTAACTCCACAACTAAAACATATGGATCACCTATTGGCTCACAGGCATTCTCCTCATTCATAGATGCCCCCTGAATTGAATTCAGCATAAATTGTTTAATTTTTTTTGAAATGATAGTTACATGTAAAGTCAAGATGATTAATCCATCAGTCTCATGTAAACTAACAACCTTTCTAATGTGGACTCTCATTAAAGGCTATTGAAACTTATTAGTTATCATATCTTTTCTTTATTAACTCCGCAGCTAAAACATATGGATCACCTATTGGTTCACAGGCATTCTCCTCATTCATAGATGCCCCCTGAATTGAATTCAGCATAAATTGTTTAATTTTTTTTGAAATGATAGTTACATGTAAAGTCAAGATGATTAATCCATCAGTCTCATGTAAACTAACAACCTTTCTAATGTGGACTCTCATTAAAGGCTATTGAAACTTATTAGTTATCATATCTTTTCTTTATTAACTCCGCAGCTAAAACATATGGATCACCTATTGGTTCACAGGCATTCTCCTCATTCATAGATGCCCCCTGAATTGCATTCAGCATAAATTGTTTAATTTTTTTGAAATAATAGTTACATGTAAAATCCATCAGTCTCATATACAGTAACAACATTTCTAATGTAGACTCTCATTAAAGGCTATTGAAAGTTATCAG